TCTGACAGGTTTACGGGTGTGGCGGGGGATGTGGTGGAAGCCAAGGGCGAACGTTGAAGTGAGTGCATTGAAGGTGTGACCAGAGTGCTACTCTGCATCGGAGAAGATGCGGATTTACCTGAAATTGTGACGGAGGGCTGTGTGACAGGAGTTACAGGCTTGGCAGGCTGGCGCATCTTCTTTGCTGAGACTGGGCTACTCGTATCTTGCTCATCAGAGGTTGAATGCTTTCGCTTCGGTGGATGTTCTGTTCCACTGGGCTCCGTTACCGTCGGTGTGGGAATCGGCAAGACCTTGCGCAAGAGAAATGCCGGCATTTCGTAAGTGACAACATGGCCGGGTGCTTCGTTGATATCTGGTATCGGCTTGTCTCTCTGTGTTACGTATGCGGCCAGGTCATGTACCTTCAGTTCGGTGACGTCAAACGCTCTGAATTTGACCTTCCGCTCTAGCGGGGAGTGAGATGGTTGGGCCGTTGCAGTCGTCTGTCGTGTTTTCACGAGAGTGAGGGCACACGGAGCCGTCCCAGGCAATGGCTCGTCCCAGGCTGCAAGCATGCGAGAGAGTAATATGGGGCCAACGTGGTTGAGGTACTTTTTCCAAATCATGTTGATTGGCGGACACGCTTTGAGGAACAAATGTGTCTCACGAGGTGGATGGTCGTAGTCCATGTTCTCTCTAGCATGGTTCCGGAGCCAGTCATCCGAATGTACTTTGGGTTGGTTGTAGAACTGCAGAAGCTCGTATCGTGGAAAGTTCGGAGGAACAGTGATCACCGGCGCTGTTTTCTTGAAGAAGTTACTGAGGGTAACAGCGCCCCATTTGCTACACTCATCTTGGTTTTGTCTGCTGCAAAGGCTGCGACCAAGACTCGCTTGGGCCGCTTTTAGGGCATTGTCAGCACCGCATTTCGGAAGACCTCCTTCGTTGTAGTCGCCGCCTGCAAGCATGGCGAACAGCACGCAACCCTGACGATCTAGTCGGCATTTCTCCTTGAGCTTTTCAGTGTGGACCACTCTAACCCGCTTCTCGTCTCTCTTGCTTTCGGCAGTGTGCTGGGTCTTCTTGGATGTGTCTGTGCTTATTCGGTGATCGCGGATCCAAAAGGTACATCCAAACATCAAGCAATCGGAGTCTGTTGACCATACAGCATCAACAAGACCAAGAGTTTGCAAGGACAACACTCAGCTTCGGCTTCTCCAGGTGCCTCGATATGAGCCACCCCAAGCCCATCCAGGATCTCGTTCAAGAGCGCACGTTGTTTGCGATCTACCCGGCGTCCAGCATCTCGGCCACGTTTTGGTGGAACATCTGGTCCATCGCTCACGAACACGAGCCGGATGTTCAAGGGAAGGATCTTGCAGATACGATGAAAGATACCCCGTTCCAGCGGGTTACAGCGCGGCTCATCTGCATCAGGCAGTTAGTCATTGACTTTAACAGTAAGAAGAATCTCCAGGCTGTCTGACTCTTGCGCATCGCCTGTATCTGGGTTGATGACACAGAATGAAATCTCCAATCTGCTTCGTCGACCGCGATCTTCAACGGCCTTCCATATTCTGCATAGTGCTCTTCAGCAAGCTGTGCTATTGGTACAATCTCCTCGCATGCTTCGATTGACCGTCGTAAACTGGTGTAGAGGAGTCAACGTTATTAGTTGATCTAATCTCATGGGGAGCACATACCCCGGAATGCCCATAATGAAGTGGGTCAACCAACGCCCGCGAACGAAGTTAGTGCGGGACAAGCCCTTAGTGTCGCGCACGCGTCGCGTTTGGCGGGAGCAGCAGTGCAACTAATAATGCCAGTAGGATGTTTTTGTTTTTGAGCGGCTCCTTTCGAACTGCGTAATTGAGTATAACAGCAAGTATAGTGCTGCCTGGAGCGATTGTTGAGCGATATGACGCGGATTTTCGACGCGTAGGAGTTTATGGGCGCCGATGCGTCGCTCCGAAGCGAACCTGGCGATGAGATAGTCGATACTTCAGGACAAGGTATACCGAATTTCTTGAAGGACTTTCAATGTATCCAACGGGTCAATCGATAGAGGGGTTAGATATAAGAAGAGAAGGGAGCTCGAGCCTGAAGTTCCTGCGACGGAAGCTACCATGTTCATCATGTCTCAAACGCGAAGACCCGAAGGTGCCGCACCAATCGTGCGTCCAGGAATTTATCCCGGTAGCGACCAAACGCGGTATCACGTGAGTAAGCGGTTGCGCAGATCTCTGGAAGCTCCAGGTCCTCGTCAGCTCTCCCTACCGCTTCTAGAATTTTAGTAAAGCTACTTGCATACTAAACAGACCTATATTGGAATGAGGCGATCAAGAGACACAGTTTCGCGACAACACCAAAACGACGACAATCTGCTCGACCACACCTAGGTATCTAAGTAGTGTGTTAGCGTAGGTGTCTTCGTGCTCTCTTGCCATCCAGGAGTTCTCACTCAAGATCACTTTACTCGTTTCCGGGTACCTAGGTAGTCGATACCGTCATCTAGGAGCAGAAAAGGTCACAGAAGATGCAAATCAACCAACAACTGTTCATATTTGTAGACATCTCCAAACACCCCCTCGTATGACTGTCAACACACCCATGTTCCCCTTTGCTTGTTCTTCCAGTGGAACCTACCGACTATCCCATCTTCCACCCTTGAAACCCTCGTCGGGAACAGCCCCGTTAGCGCTACAAGTGCCGCACATATCCGGATACTTGATGGTCCGCCGCACGCGACTGTACCGCGGACACTGCCTTGCGTTGACATCGTCTTCGAGTCGATGACAGCGTATAGTTCGCCTCATGGGGGTATGCTCGTGATTGCAGTCCTTGTACTGGGTCCACCTTTCTTCGCACATGTCGGGAGTAAAAGTTGATGAAGTCCTTGGGTAGAGATGATCTTGGGTATATGGCTTTGCGCACGATGACGTGGGTATGGTGTTTTGGAGCGGAGAGATGATCTCAACGATATGTTTTCCAGCGATTAAAGGCTTGTGCTTAGTAGTTTGAGGGAGTTGATAGTAGAAACGTCTTACTCTGCGTACTCGAAACTTCTTATATATCGAGGCGGCCAAGAGTCACAACTTCGCCAACGAGCTTTCTGTGTCTGTATCTTTGTGAACATTCTGCTCTGTCCTGTCTGCTGGCAGTAATCGATACTCAGATGGCACTCCTTTCCAGAGATATGGTCGCAAACACGTAAACAGATGTTGGTGTTCATTAGCCAGTGAAGCAGAGCAAGGCCCGGAAAAGCATCTTGTCATCGAGAACAGCGACTGAGGGTGCTTCACTGATTCGTAATACATTGATCGTTATAGCGGTTGATCTATGAGCTGGCAGCCTTGGCTTGTAGCTCCTCGAGTTGCTTTTTGGCCGCCCACTGCTTCTCTACGTTGATCTTTTTCAAGATCTTGTCGGCGCCCTTCTCGATCAAGACCTTGGCAACCTCTTGTCCCATCTCTTCTGCCTCCTCTGAGCTTCGGACTTTGCGGGCTGCCTCGTACTCAACAGACTCCGTGCCATCTACGCTCACCACCATGGCTCTTAACACTAGTTCTTGATCGTCAACATCTGGCTCTTCCTCTTCTACCGCATTTCCGTGGATATCGTAGTCCTTTGCTGGTTGTGCACCGATAGTGAGGCCCTTGCCACCTCTCCATGATGTCTCAACGCCGATAGGCACGCTGCAGCCCCCCTCCAGAGTGCGTAGTAGCGCTCGCTCAGCCGAGCATGCTCTTGTCGTCCGCTCGCATCGAACACTGCTCAAGATGTCTTTCATAGCTGCATCCTTCTTCCTGATCTCGATTCCTAGAGCACCCTGACCGACCGCATGAAGCATACCTCCGCTCGTACTGCTCAGATACTGTGTGATCCTGTTGTCGAGGCCCATTCGCTTCAAACCGGCAGCCGCTAAGATGATAGCGGAGTACGGGGAGTCTTCGGCATCGAGCTTTGCTAGTCTTGTACCGACGTTGCCTCTCAGGTCGGCGAACTTCAAGTGTGGGTATAGCTTCCTCAGTGTGGCAGCTCGTCGTACCGATGACGTACCGATGGTGGCACCTTGCGGAAGGGTAGCTAACGTCGTCTCCTTGGGCAGGCGTGGGGAGATCAAGAGGGCATCGCGGGGATCTTCACGCTGGAGTATGGCACCAATCTCGAGGTGGTCTGGCAGCTGTGTGGGCATATCTGTTCTACTAGTCAGCCCGATTCGATCGAAGTTTCAATGAGCGAGCTCCAGAACATACCTTTCAAGCAGTGAACGATGATATCCAGATCGCCAGACTCCAGCATGCTCTCCAGTTCGCCCGTCCAGAGACTCTTCGCATTCTCGCCCTGACTCAGTTGCTGCAAGGGTGTGATCTTGTCCCTGTCTCCCTGCACCACGACGGGGCAGATGTTGAATGTTCGGTCCGGGTACGCATCCTTCAAGCTTCGCTCGACTGCGCGGGCCTGGATCTGGGCGAGTACCGAGTTGCGCGTGCCGATGTTGACAGCCGGGAATTGCGTGCTTGCCGATGTGTTGAGGCCTTCCGGGTTTGGATGAGATGGACCCTGGATGTCGGCTGCTGTTGCGGAGGCCATGGTGAGATGCGTACACGTGGGTAGAGAGGCGTGTTGTCGTGGTGGCTAGGAAAAGATCTGGAGCCCTGGCGGGATGGTGGGGCTCGGCCAACGTCATGTTTGCCGCGGCTCGACACTAGCGTCAGGTACACACCAGATGACGGGAACCTTCGGCGCGAACAACCCTGTGACTTGTCTTAGAAAGATGAAAGGTACGCTGTGATTTGCATACATATGAGAACGACGATGGATAGAAACTCAAGGCAGTGTTGAGTCCAACGTCTTCTACTTCCACTATAGGTTGATGGCACAATTTTTTCTACGATCAATACCAACAGCAGCTTCACACACGATGTCGTTTGGATTGACGTTGATTGTTATTATTATAATACAGTGAACTTCCTATTTGCCAATCATGTACTACCTAGGTAGGTATTAAGACGCGATTACTGGTCTCCGGTGTTGTGGATCGAGTTAGGAAGAGCTTCGTTTGTGTCAGAATCGCGTCATTATTGCATTGTATGTAGAACTCTTACCTCGCTCGACAGACTCGGGAACGATCTCTTGGACCTTCTTGGGGACGATCGAGTCCTCGCCGTCGTTCAGAGCATGGGTCTTGCTGGTAGACTGGCTGTTGGGGTTGCTGCCAGTGGGGTGGACCTGTGACAATGTTAACATGCTTCACTTCGTGGTTGGCAGATATAATCAACTTACACCTTCAGGGAGGCTCTCCTCGAGACCCTTTGGTGCAGCCTCCTGAACCTTCTTGGGGACGGCACTCTGACCAGTGGCGTGCGATGCACCCTGACCATGCTCATTGGTGGAAGACATTCTGATGGAAGTTCGTTTGAAGAGATGTGATTGTTGGATGAAGGGTCGGGAAATAGTGCGGAGCTGTGTGGTGAAAGGCATTTTGGGATGGAATTCGAATGGTATTTGAATGATTTCGATGGAGAGCCTGAAGACAGCAGCTTATGTACGAATGGATGGTGATATGACGCGTGTGGTGACACACCCAAGCCGCATCTCACTTGCACTCTATCATGCGCGTCATGAAAGTGCAGTCCATGTTTCTTTTCGTCCGATCACTAGTGGAGTTTCTACAGAACTGTGAGTGATTATCCGTGGCGACACGACGAAAACGCCATGCGTAGTTGTCCAGGTACCTCGCTTGGGTCGGTCAGCGGGAAATGATGCGGTCACGACGACACCAAGAACCGGTCCGCGGCGAGCTTCATGGTGCTCACGAAGCTCATGAAGCCACATTGCAACATGGAAACGCGATCGTCGTAGATTTCGACACAGTTAATTGCCTCCGAGGCGCCGACCTCCCAGATCCGAGGAGCTATACGAAAGGACGTTGATGGCGTAGGTGTAACAATCACCCGCGGTCGGTCTCCGAAGGCCCCGATCGCGCTAGTACGGATGCCTCTCCGCGGGCTCGTATTCTCGTATACGCCACAGGCCATCTTACATTGGATCTGAATCTTGCGCACTCCACCCAATTTACAATCGTCGTCCTTGCCTTTCATTCTTACCGCCGAGCGTGACCAAGAAGACGTCATCTTTGGCAACTCATTGCACCATTCCAAGGTTCAGTCTACCTGCATTGTGGTCTTCACGGCCGCATAACTCATGTTGCCTAGATCTTTCATTCGTACATATGTATGATATCCAAGCTTCCAACAATCACAGCTTCGCCTTGACCCAGCTTTGCACCACTTCTTGACTTCCGGTGCCCGAATCACCCTTATAACCCAATATTCGCTCCACAACCATCTCTTCGTGGCACGCTTTTGGCGTTACGACTGTAGTGACCAGCCCACCGTTGCTGCCAAAGCCCTGCGTGAACTTCTTTGCAAATGCCTCAATGCCATCCTTCAGGACCTCGTTATCGCCCACCCATATTAGAACCTCTTCCACGAAATCGGCAACAGGGCCCCACCACTCCGGAGCTGCGAGAACGGGTTCGCTGTAGAAGTCGCCGGCGAAAGGAGAAGAGGAGCCGAGGAAGGCAGTCGCCCAGCGGGAAAGCGTTCGCGCGTCGAACATGTCGCGTTGAGCGTTCGTGACGAATGCTGGCGTGTTGGTCTGTGTCAAAGAGCACCATGGCGAGATGAGAAGCGCGGCATGGATCTTGGATGGAAGTTCCAACGGCGCAATCTCGGGATGTGGATGTGCGAGGTGCGAAAGCAGACCGAGTATAAGGTTTCCGCCAGCCGAATCGCCGCCCAGAATCAGGTCTGAAGGGTTGCGCCCCTCGACGTGCACGAGATGGTGAAGCAGCTCGACTGCCTGCTTCAGCTGGCTGGGATATCTGGCTTCTGGCGCGAGATCGTACGCGAGAAGGAGCGCGGATACGTCGGGGCCGAGAGACTTTTGGAAGTCATCGAGCCATAGCATATGGCCTGCTGTGCATGGCATCACATATCCACCGCCTGTTCATATCAGTGACATGCCCCTCATCTTGGAAAGCGGAGACCGACCATTGAAGTAGACAAAGACCTTCTTCGCGCTCCTACTACCCAGCCAATGCGCTTGTGTTCCACTAGGCAACTTGATGCTATCTGGAACGAACTTGTACTTTTCGGCATGCTGAAGGTACGTAGGCGTCGATGATGCGCCGTTCATGTACCGGTCTTGCGCCAGGTCGAGGTTTCCCAGATTGGTCCGGAACACGGCAAACATGACGTCCTTGAAGTACGTGTTGGAGCCATTCTCGCCTTTGAAGGGTGATGTGACGGAGCGTTGCAGCGCAGAGCCCACTGTCGGAGATGTTAGTGCTTGCTTTTGACCTGATGATGCAGGCGCGTACTGGCTTTGAGCGTCGCCGAAGCGATGCCCAGCTTGCTTACATTCTGATCTGCCATTGTGTTGTGATGGTGCTTGCAATGGCAGCAAGATGCTGCCAACACCCACAGCTCACTAGCTACCCCATGGCGCGCGTCTGAGTCTAGTCTCCAGGGAGCCGTGCAAGTGCGGAGAGCGTTACCCGACGAGATTCCCGAGGTTCGCGTCCCCCACGCGTGCTGTCCCCGCGATCGATCAGGGCGGCGATCATCCACTAGGCCTGCTCCGGCTTAGCTTGCTGTAGGCAAAACTCATCGCAGCTGCAGTGTCAGGGTCATGACTCGAGGTAGGATTTGTCCATTTCTGTCCTGAGTCGCAACCCACACGCATCCATGATCAGCATGGCGTCGCCGGCGGAGGCAGACACGCCCGAAGGAGCCCCTAGAGACGATGGTTCGGGCGATGGTCAGCCCAACAAAAAGCGCAGGACTGGCCCCAACTCGCGTGGCGTTGCCAACCTCACGCCCGAACAGCTTGCCCGCAAACGCGCAAACGACCGCGAAGCTCAACGTGCCATCCGCGAGCGCACCAAGAACCAGATCGATCGCCTCAATCAGCGCATCCGGGATTTGGAGAGCCAGCAGCCATACCATGACCTGCAAGTCGTCCTCCGCGAGAAGGAGGCGGTTCAGGCGGAGAACGGAGACATAAGGAAGAGGCTCGAGAGCGTCCTGAGCATCATCCAGCCTATTGTGCGTGCGACGGGAGGCCTCAATGGTACGATGACTACTCCCAAAGCAGGAACGAATGTTGACAGCAGGTAGAACTGGCAGCTGCTGCCGAGCGATCGCCCCTTCCTATCCATCCTCACCAACAGCGCGACGCGCCTGTGCAACCTACCGAACCACGACAGTACCACATCGCGTCTCACGAGCTATCCACGGCCTCACCTCAGAACGGCGTACATTCTCCAAGCGTGACTGAGGGGGGAAGAGCATGGCTATACCCCAACGACGCGCCGAACAGCCACTTGCGCCGCTACTCCAATGGCAGTCCCGGGCCGCATTTCGACCAGTCGCGAACACCCCATCTGCAGTCAGAGATGCCCTTCGATGAGCGGCTAGGCGTAGACTTTATACTCGACAATGGGCAAAGGAGGGCTGTCGATCCAAACCTGCCCCCTCCACAGCAGCCGCGACCCAGCAACGTCAGTAGCAGCCAACATGCCATGTATGCGCCGAGCATGGTCGCTCACCTCACGCTACCTCGCAATCTCCCGGCGACATGCCCCCTAGACGTCATCTTGCTTGACTTCCTACAAGACCGTCAGAATCGGGCTGCCGAGGGCGTACCTATGAAGACCCTGGTTGGACCACACTACCCCAACTTCACGTCTCTAGCGTATCCCGAGCGCGCAGTAGATGCACACCCCCTGTCAAAGCTCTTCACAGACATCTTGCGCACGTTTCCCGACATCTGCGGTAGACCGGAACAGGTTGCGATAGTATTCATCATGTTCCTGATCATGCGTTGGCAGATCGAACCTACGCAGGAGAACTACGATCGGCTGCCACACTGGGCTACACCACGACCTTCTCAGCTGTTCACTGCTCACGCGTTATGGATCGATCATCTCCCATGGTATGTACTAATATCCGCTTCTTAACTCGTTTGAGAACACATAATGACTGACCTATTCTAGGCCTCGCCTTCGCGACAAACTCGTCGCTGGCCACCCGCCAGTATCCTTCGAGAACTTCTTCATACCCTTCACGACTACCATTTCCCTGAACTGGCCTTATGAGCCCCGCGACTGTCTCCTCCCTGCTTCGAAAGTCCATACCTCAGCTCTCTCGACGACCTCCTCCGTCTCGGTCTCTTCTCCTTTCTCCACACATGTCAACGCCGGCTCGCCGCAAGATCCTTCCACCCCACAGCCTCCTGCGGCGCATACCTCCGCCGGTATCACATCCATGGGTCCGCTACCCAAGGAAGACGATCAGTGGCTTATCAACCCCGCGTTTGAAACGCACCTCCGCGACCTGAATAATTGGACACTGGGCCCAAGCTTCAGAGGCAACTTTCCCGCGTTTGCTGATTGTGTAAAGATCAAGGAAGGGAGGTGACGAGGATTGTAGATGCAAAACGCGCCGCGGTCAGGCGCTGGCGTGCGGGACAGGAAGGTGTTTATTCGGTATTGCATGTATCTTTACTGTATCATTGGCGGGTAATGTGGTGGCTCTATTGTGTATTATCATCAGCATTGGGTATTGTATCTTTCCAACTGTACACGCTTGGGCATGCATCAGAGGGAGCAGTGGGCTGGCTTGGGGTGGTGTATGCTTGCGACAGGCGCTTTAGCATTATATCGGTATCATAACGACGCCACACGAAATCTACACCAACATTGTCTTAAACCCTAGGCTTTTATCTTCGTTGACCCGCCAAATTAGCACTACCTACCGCTTCGGGACGACCAGGACAATGTGGGAGGGCAAGTGAAGGTGAGTGCCCTCTCCACTTTTGCTTAGTAGGGTCGAAACGACTGACCCGGCCAAGTAGCTTGCTTCACTTCTCAATCACACCCACCTACAGTCTCCTCCACCATATCCAATATTGACGACACATCGTCTCCCAACGATGACGTCCATGGCTCGCGATCCCTTACAGCAGCACATGCTCGCCTACCTCGACCCCCGCCGCGGCAGTCTGCCTGCCAACGTCGCCGAGACCATTGCCGGCAAGTCCAACCCTTTCCGGTGAAGAAATGAAGTAACTGACGGCCTACATGCAGGAAACATCACCTTCCTAATCAAGTACACTGGCGGTCCCAAGATCCTCGCGTCCCAAATCTCAATCACTGTCGTCGATGTCCGCGGCCACGATAATAGCGAAGTCGGTCACAAGGCAACTGTATGCATCCACAACGGCCCAGGTGACTTTACAGTCGTAGTCTGGAAGCAAGTCAAATGGGGCCAGAATGTTGTGCAAGCGCTCGGAGAGAAGGTGGATAAGTGTGTCAGAGAGATCCTGAAGAACGAGGGGAATGATGGATATGGCGACTTCAAGGACTAGGGATTGTGGGTTCGATGATTGAAAATCGGGTGGGTGGTGACGAGCTTGTACATCAGCCACATGGAGATTGACTACAACCTCGCACTTCCGCGATTGGAAATGGTCGACTTGATTGGGGAGGATAACTGCTAGTCAGTGGGCCGGCTTGTAAAGCAAACTTGCCTTCGGCATCCGCGTCATAAGAATGATACCAGATCCCAAGTCATAGCTCTCAGATAATTCCGCTGTCCCGCACGACCCTCTATGTTTCACTGAGAATATACTACCAGCATTTGATTATGCAGTGACGCAGGCTCTGTCCTTAGCGCAAACACCCCAGGTCCACTCTGCCGCCTACATGGGAGTCTCGTACGTCCAAATCTCTCCACTTTATCCTCCCCACTTTGCAATATACCAATAAAGTCGCGACCAATCACCTCATCATGTCAACAGATTCGCTCGAACAGCGACTCTACGATCTCCTACAGCCTTACCGCGAGGAGTGCTACAAGAATGCTCCCAACACCGCGCCAGCAATAGAAGAAGAACGCCTACTTCTCATACTTTGTGGTACGTAGACATTTTATTCGCGTCAACTTCACTTCTACTCAGGCCTGACTCCTTCCCACAGAGAACATATCATTCATCATCCGCCACAATCAGTCATCATACGGCAAAATCATTGTACCAATTGATATCTCTGTCGGTTCTCGCAACTGGTCTACTATGATCAAAGGTGGCGGTGGAATAGCTGGGATGGGAATCTTCGTCAACGGGAACGGATATACACACACTGTTATGCGCTGCTGGGCGAGGAAGGAAGACGGGAAAAGCGTGATCGAGATTTTGACGGAGGAGTGTGACAGGGCGCTGGCGAACTTCTTTCCCGAAGTGAAGGTGGAGTCACAATGAGAGTGATGGAGTAGCGCGAAGGCAGTCACTGTGTTATCGGACAAGAAGAAGACTGGCGAAGAGAGGGAGGAGAACCTTAAAGCACTATCGGCAGTTATATGAACGGTGAGGGTGATGATTCGAGCTTTCAGACTATGATTTCAGTGCAGTCACGGTGTCTTGGCGTTCTCGTCATTGGTAGTTACCACTTTCCACACTTCTCTCTCCTTCCACAAATACCCGTAGACGATAAACAATCTCCCGACGTCAACTCAAACAGCCTTCTTGCCAATGTCTACGCCCCAGCCCGCAAACGCGCTCGAACAGCGCATCTACGATCTCATGCGCCCATTCCGTAACGAATGTTATGAAGCGCCCGACACCGTCGATCAAGTTGCCGCCGCCAATCGCGCTATCAAACTCGAGCGCAGGATCCTCGTTTTAGCTCGTACGTCCAAGGTCCATTTGTTTCGCGCTCAGCATTTCAACTGACATGTGATCAGAGAATATCTCATTCCTCGCACACAACAACATTGCGAACACTGAGCAGACGATCAACGCCTCCGATATCTTCGTGGTGATGAGAGGCTGGACGGGAGATGGAGTGGCAAAAACAGGTGGCGCGATTGCGGTTCTTGCACGTTATCCGGAGGGTACTACGGGCGTTGTCAAGGCTACATTCGACGCCGGTGTCAGTGTCGTTGACGCGCTGTGTACAAAGGTTGACGAGATGCTTGCTGCGAGCTTCTGAAGGATGCGGCAGCGGTTGTGAGCAGAAGGTAGTAATGTTGGCGGGCAAGGAATGATTGGCAGAAGCAGATGGGAGCGTGAGCTCCTCAGTGTTTGAAATTTTACGAGATGTCCACTGTGATAGAACCCAGTACCACCACTGTCATACTCGCTCCTTGCAATGTCGTGGAATTAAGCTCATGTCCCAGCTCCTGACGTGTGACGGGATGGTCTGGTCGCAGCTAAAGTGGGGCTTGCTAGTCTGAGACCCCAAGACATGGCTCAAGCTAGGTGTCTGACTCGTGAGCCTCATTCAAATGGGCTTTCACACTGGGCAGTGGGCGGAGTAGGTCGCGTTATTCAAAATCTTGCGCGAAGTCCCGAAGTGAGCACTCAATGCGTCCTCGCCCACTCTCGATAGAAGTCCAGGCATTCGGCGTTTGCAACACTCGCGCTCGTCTTGACGTTGAGTCCGCAAAGGATCTGCTTGACAGCACCTTCAACCTTTTTGCCGTTGGTAGTGACAGGTATCTCTGGACACTCATCTACTACAGCTGGAACATGACGTGCGCTCAGCGCTTGCTTGATAGTCGTCTTGATCCTTCCGACGAGATCAGTAGAGATCTGACGACCGTCTGCCATCTTGAGAAAGAGCACGACGGTTTCATCCGTATCAGTCTCTCTCCTTCGGCCGATGCAAAGCGCGTCCGCGACGTCTTCGGGGAAATGCTCAAGTACTACGTTGTAGATCTCAGCTGATCCGAAGCGAACGCCCGCGGGCTTGAGTATGCCGTCGCTGCGTCCAAGCATCCACAGTCCACCAGTCTCGGGGTTGAATCGCACGAAATCGCCGTGATGCCAGATCGGCTGGTTCTTCTCGTTCGTGAATTTGTCAAAGTACGACTTCCGGTACTTTGACTCCCCTTCAGGGCCCCAAAATGCTACTGGCTGGCAGATGAAGGGCTCGGTGCAGACTAGATCTCCTGGTTCGCCTGACATCGAGACATCGGCACCCGTGTAGTCATACGCCGCGATTGCCATACCTAAACCAGCGCCTTGGATTTCGCCTTCATAAACAGGTAGAAGTGGATTGGGTGCACCAAAGAGTGAGATGATGTCTGTGCCACCGGTGATGCTGCCGAGATTGATGGTCGAAGGGAAGGCGGAATAGACGTAAGAGAACGTGGAAGGTGCGAGCGGTGACCCGGTCGAGTAGATCGCTTCGAGCTTGTTCATCGCCAGTCCCGCAGCAGATGGGTCGATGGACTTCTGCTCCAGAATAGAAAGGTACTTTGCGGACGTGCCGAAGTGTGTGATGTCAAACTCGTCTATCAGACGATGCATTGCTAGGTCGTCTGGAACAGATGTCGATGAGTCGGAACTGTCTACATACCGAAACGGAGAACCGTCATAAAGTACTAATGTAGCGCCCGAGGCGAGCCCACTGACCAGCCAATGCCACATCATCCAAGTACATGTGGTAAAGTAAAAGAGTCGTGAGCTGGGTTTTATCGAGCAGTGAATGATGTGTTCCTTTTTGTGTTGAAGTAGCGTACCGATGGCCCCGTGAACGATACATTTGGGTGCACCTGTCGTGCCACTCGAGTAAAGGATATAGACTGGATGGTCTGGCGGCAATTGCTTGAAGGTGAGTTCTGACGTAACCTTCAGTGATGTGAATGTTGCGTAGTCGTAGGCTTTGCCAGATTGTACCGGGATAGAGGTGACGTCGAATTCTACTGAAGCTACAGTAGGAAAGATGACGACGGCTTCGAGCGATGGGAGATCCCTGACGATTTCAGTAACCTTGGGAAGTACTGGATGACTCCGACCATTATAGAAGGCCGCATTGTCTGCAAAGAGCAGGGTTGGCTCAATCTGGCGTAGTCGATCGAGAACGGCATGAACGCCAGTGTCTGGGCTTACTGCGGTCCATACTGCCCCCAGCGACGACGCGGCCAACATTGCTACCAACGCGTTGGTGTGGTTTGCAACATAGCCAGCTACTCGATCGCCTTGTTTGAGACCCAAATGTATCATGCCGGCTTGACATAGCTTCACTCTATCCCTGAGTTCCTTCCATGTCACTGTTTCGCGTGTAGTCTCTGTAGCGGCGATGACGGCGGGTGATTCGGGGTCGACTTCGGAGGTAGGGAAGAGGAGATTCTCAGCGAAGTTCAGTGTCGCTCCCGAGAAGAACGCCGGTCGGGGAAACATGGGCAATTCTTCATCCACGGCCTGTCGTCTATAAGTAGAGGCTACATAGATGGGTCTACGATGACTGACTGATGTGAAGGCTCCCTGGTGTCGGACACCCACAAATTCCCACGTTCTTTGCCAGAATTCGTTGATGTTGCCGATGCTCCATTTGTGTAGTTGCGAGTAGTCGGACAGTTGCAGGTTGTGTGTCTTGTTCACTGACTGCAAGAATTGGTACATGGGTGTCGTCTCGGGTGAGGAGTGCTTCCAGAGAAGTTTGGGGCCTATTGATGTGCCATTGGCACCCTTCGTGCCGTTCATCGCGTCGTGATCGTTCTGACGAGTGTTCTCAGCGACCGTGGATACCGATGTTGTGAAGAAATTGAGGTTTGCGGCTATTGCAGGCTCCTGATAATTCTCGATGGCGGTCTCGGTTTCCCCGCGCCCCCATGCGATGTTTGGCAGCGGCAAGTTCCGATACAGTAGCGCATCACGAAAACGTCGCGGTTCCCCACCCCAAACACCACAGCACCTCCATCGACTGTGGAGCCATCATCACGTCCGCTCCGCGTATTTTCGGTTTTGGATCCGTCCTTCCATCGACTCACCAGGCTGCCGGTGCGTTGAATACGTCACTCGATTAAGGCTGTGGGGTGTCTCCGTCGCGCATATGCGGAGGCGTCAACTACGCGCCCAGGCACCCAATAATTTCGGACTATGCCTCGATTCTCAGCAGCCCTCGAAGCTGTATTACAGCTACGCGAACTCAACAGTTTCATCCCCGTTATGCCACGACTGCGAAGAATTCGGGCGGTGAAGACACGCGACATACAGACGCTGCGATGAGTCCATGAAGGGAAGGACCGGCCAACACTGTCATCTCCGTTTCGCTTCCATTGCCTCGAGGTCGAGTTTCAGGTCCGCGATCGACACTCTGCCTTGGGGCCAAATTCACCGGTCTTCCGGGGTCGTTCGCATCTAAGCTGATGGTGTGTAGAGGACGGCCAGCGCATCCCCCGCCTATCCCTGCTGGGGGTAGCGCCTGGTCCTTGCACACTCCTCCGTATCGAGCACCTGCCACTCTATCGTCTGGTCTTCTACGTTTGTTCTTCGATAGTTCGTCTCAGGAGATTGCGAAGCGTACTTGGTGTACACCGCTAGTCCCTGCGCAAACTGGAGCGTCGATTACAAACCTCATGGCAAGATTCGGGTGCAGGAACAATTTCACGGCTGTCGCGAATGGGCGTCAGGATCAGATGCTCACTCAGAAGTTTCACGCGGTGGCGCTGATGTTTGCCTGCTTTCCTAGCATCGAAATCCACCACACCTGCACGTTGAACTCTGGATGATCCCGTCCATTTTGCTCGACCCGCCTGCCTGGTCCATCTGAAAATCCTGAAACCTTGAGGATTGCCATGGCCGCCTACGCTGAGGCTATGAAAACATCCTCCATTGAGCAACACCGGCCTCGAATGAGCTTAACATATGTATGATGGTATGTTCTTTGTCAAACACCTGACGCTAGAGGGGCCATCAAGAACCTGGTATCCAGGCGAGCTTGCTCCATGCGACCCACATCCAGACCGACCCTCGAGTTCGCTCTGTCTGCTGCAGGTACAAGGTTGTGTGGAAGATTGGTACCTGCATTAGCCTTTCTTGCACCTGTCACTTGACCGCTACCCGGGGTAATGACGTGCGAACACTCATATGGTCTCAGGCCACTAAACCAGATCACCATGCGTTTTACGACTCCGCCATCGGGTCTATGGTCGGGCCCATAGTCAGCCTCCCAGGGGTATCGCTAAGATTGACTGCAGCGCTGTTCAACGCAAACGCAAGTCTGAGACCGAGCCATGCCGAGATGTTGCCAAAGAAACCGGATGCTGTATCGACCCAGCTCTGGGCATATTGCTGAGCGTGCAGGCGTGGTCTGGTGTCGCAGATCTTCGTACTCTTTTGCATGTCTTACATGCGTGCCAAGCGCATGCAGGTTGCACCCACCACACTTTCATGTTCCCCACGCTCTCAGGTCATAGTGGCGGGATGGATGTGTTTTGGCACGCGCCATCCTAGCATTCCGGGATCATGAAGGCGACCAGGGCCTTGCAGGTTGACGTTGACAAGATACGCGATGCGCGCGCCCGCTTTCGTACGTCTAGTACCTGCATCAGCCGATGCTTGTCCTCAGTGTGTATGCTAGCCCTACAACCCTTGTCCCTGTCCCTGTATTCCCCTTTCACTGGATCTGCGCATCATGAAACCAGATATGCTCGGGTAAGTCGGAGACTTCTGCCTTATCGACCAGTATGAGAGAGGTTGGATTTGATGAATTTTGTACTGACAACTTCGCAAAGGCAGAAAACATCCGCAGTGATCTTCATGACAAGGGTAGGGGCTTGAGACTCTTGTTGACAGCATGCGGACGCCATGCCAAAGAAGTGCAAACCAGAACGATGCGAGCTCCTTCGTGGACATCGCTGTGGAGAACAAGAACGCCACTTAATTGCTGTCACATCCTTGTACCTTGCCCCGGCCCTTCGCTGCTCTTACCCAAACCGCGACGACTAGTGAAGTCCCATGCTTCATGTTGCCGCAACTGGCCATGACCAGGTGTCAGCAGAAGGAAAAGCTAGATATCAGCATTTTGCGAGGTCGGTGCGTCGCTTGGAATACATAGGGAGGGTGTGCATATAAACAGGCCCAGTGCCACTGTGATATCGACACCAGCACCAACAATTCGAGAACTCTCCCGTCCGCTACTGCCAAACCGTCCCTGGAAGCATAGTCTGTAGACATTTCTGGTACGTTCAAGATTGTTCTCACCCTTGAGGTCCACCTCTGGAGACACTCGCTCAAAGCATCACATCCAGTACATTACCCCAACACGCTCACTGCAACACTCGTCTTTCGTAAAGATGGACAGCAACGATCGGAACGATGCCTTTTCTCTCAAGTTCTACAACCAAGGCCTGTCCTGTCCGGCCACGAACGTAATACGGAGGTTGCCCTCAGATGCGCCCTGCACGTATCATGCGGCTGTGCTTGGTCCCCATCCTCAGCAACCTGGCTCGAATTCAGCGACATTTTCTCGCCAGATGCTCCAATATGTCCCGCCGTCATGCTTGACGCAAGACTGGTCTACTGGTACTTCAGCGAGTTGTGGTTGCACATGTGCATCTGCTGGGGGGATCAGAGGGGACAACATGGCTCGCGAGATCGAGACCATCGTTCGAGCTTCAAAGATCGCCGCTACCACAAACACATCCGGGGAACGATAAGCAAAGCGCAGGCGGATTGACAACTGGGAAAGCGTCCTGTCATCAGCTTGGTGCACCTTGCATCCGTGACTTCCGGGCAGGCCTTCTCCCCGAATCCGCTGCACATGCGTTGTTTCTTACTGGGACAACATTTTTTCAACCGGTGCAGCAGCTGCTACCCAATTTTGTACTTTACAATGTATTACTACACTTCTCCCGCCCGAGTACATCCTACTTAGGAGAGATTTCACCAATCATCACCTCCCATGCTAAGCGATTGCCTTGACTTCGCTAGCATACACGGGTTCCTTGCTGTACATCAATGATTCCGCCACCACAATCAGCACAGACGAGCTTATTACCCACAGACTGCGCCTTTGCCGCCAGGCTGGTCTAATGACAGGCGTAGTCTCCACTCTGCTAACTGTGGCCTAACAAGCCTTGTACGAACGGAGCGGAAGTAGCCCGAGCCCAATGGCAAGCGCCTCCAGGTACGGCACTTACCAAATCTCGGTCGAGTGTTTGTGCTTGTACCCATGAACGCCTTGACGAGTCAATCTGGATACCCCCACGTCGCCAATTTCATGAGCATCGATCTTCGGTTCGAGATGCAGACTAACACGCATACACCATGAGGTTTGCATTAAATACGAGCAGCTCGTTATATTGAAGGTCGGGACGAGAACATCATAGTTCATGGCGAGTATCGCAACCGCAACGCGATGCTGGTCATAGGGGAAGATATTGCATCTCCGCATTACAATGTCCAATCTTCAATCTCACCTTCAGCTCCGTCTTACATCGTACAGCACGTGGCAGACATATTCCACGAAATTTCCGGTTATGGTCAGCCCGGTGATCTAGCGTCGACTGCACAGGCCTAGCCAACATGCAGAAGGCTGTTCAACGACGCTTAGATCCTTGGCTTGACATAGCGGTGTGTAAAGAAAACGCGCGCAAGTTAAGAAACCTCGATCCGTTGCTGCATTCGGCCAGCAAATCATACAGCAATGGCCATATCCCTGTCTGGCAGTTGAGATTCCAATAAGATTCGAAACACACCAAGCCTCTTCGGATTCGAGGTACTATTCCTCCTACGCTGCTGCCAGCGTAAAAAACACCGTAAACTTAGCTCAGACACTCTCCGCGGAGCCTTACCAGCAGAGCTGAAGCACCACGGTCTTGAAGAAACGCGGCAGAATAGAACTGCATACGAGACGCCTCGATCTTCCGGGGATTCATGCGCAGCTGCGCAGTAATGTGCGGCTTGAGTCATCTGTCGCACGGTAATGCAGAATCAGTGGCGAGTTTGCTGCGCTGCGGATATGCCACAGCCACACAATGCATTGTCACCCATGATCGAATATGCACATTCATTCTAGGGAAACTGAACTGCAAACGGGGGGTTGGACGGACGCGAGAGAGATTTGGGCTTCGCGCTTCCGGCTTCTTCACATCCAACCAGATAAATTGCCTGCCACACTTCATGCAGGCAGATGCAGGGGAAGCGCTTACAGTTGCGACTGTTAGACTTTCGATTACCGACCATGGCACCCATTTCATAGCAGCAGCACGGATCATGCACATAAGAGCCTTTGGATCTTCAGCTGTGTAGAGGAAAGCGCTTTTCGCCGATGATCTTGTCGTCGATCTCACCCCAGCACTGCGCCTGGGGTCGTCGCGTGGGCCTGAAGAAGTAACGCCTTGCCGCTTCCACAACCGACAGCCTTCTAGAAGCTTCCAACAACTTTCGGTGGAAGGACATTCAGCCAGCCTCAACCTTGCAGTCACCTGCTTGAGAGTTTTGGTCTACCAAACCGTTGGCGTGCGGACTGGTGATGCGCAATACTCTCAACTTCATCCTGAGTGTGCGCAACTTCAATCTTGCGTTTTACTGAGCTAGAAATCCCGAAGGAGATAATTGCAACAGCTTTTATGATAGCTTGTGCGACGAGCGACGAGCGTTCGGCCGCCAAAGGACTTGCCGTCCCCTGTTTCCCCGCTGCGCTTGTGTATGAATTTTGCTGTGAATAAATCTTCCTACACTCATACCATTTTGACGCT